ATAAGAAATGTCTTCCTTATATCTAGTTGAAATCTACCCTCTTTCAGTTTAAAACCATTACCCCTTGTCCTATCACTACAAGCCCTGCTAAAAAGTCTGTCTCCATCTTTCTTATAAGCCCCCTTTAAGTACTGGAAGGCTGCAAGAAGGTCTTCTGGAGCCTTCCCTTCTCCAGCGTGCACAACCCCAACTCTTAGAGCCTTTCCTCATAGGAGAGGTGTTCCATCCCTCTGATCGTTTTTGTGGCCCTCCTCAGGACCCACTCTGACAGGTCCATGTCTTTCCTGTGCTGAGGGCTCCAGAGCTGGACACAGTTCTCCAGGTGGGGTCTCACAAGAGCAGAGTAGAGGGGCAGAATCACCTCCCTCAACCTGCTGGCCACGCTTGTTTTGATGCAGCCCAGGATACGGTTGGTGTTCTGGGCTGTGAGTGCACGTAGCCGGCTCACGAACAGCTTTTCATCCACCAGTACCCCCAAGTCCTTCTCAACAGGACTGCTCTCAAGCCCTTCGTCCTCCAGCCTCTATTGATATCGTGCAACTTGGCCTTGTTGAGCCTCATGAGGTTCACACAGGCTCATTCCTCAAGCTTGTCCAGGTCCCTCTGGATGGCATCCCATCCCTCAGGTTTGTCAGCCGCACCACTCAGCTAGGTGTCATCGGCAAACTTTGCTGAGGGTGCACTTAACTCCACCATCTATGTCATTGATGAAGATATTAAAGAATACTGGTCCCGCTATGGACCCCTGAAGGATACCACTTGTCACCGATCTCCATCTGGACACTGAGCCGTTGACCACCACATCCACCTTCTGGATGTGACCATTCAACCAATTCCTCCTCCACCCAACAGTTCACCGATCACATCCATATCTCTCCCATTTAGAAAGAAGGATGCCAAAAGCCTTACAGAATTCCAGACAGACAACATCTGCAGCTCCTCCCTTGTCCTCTGATATGGTCACTCCATCACAGAAGGCCACTAGGTTGGTCAGGCAGGACTTGCCCTTGGTGAAGCCATGCTGGCTGTCTCAAATCACCTCCCTGTCCTCCATGTGCCTTAACATAACTTCTAGGGTGATCTGTTCCATGATCTTTCCAGGCACAGAGGTGAGGCTGACAGGTCAGTAGTTCCCAGGGTCCTCCTTTGTACACTTTTTAAAAATGGATGCAATGTTTCCCTTTTTCCAATCTCTAGGGACTTCACCTGACTGCTCTGAGTTTTCAAATATCATGGCGAGTGGCTTGGCAACTACCTCAGCCAATTACCTCAGGGCTCTGGGATGCATCTCATCAGGTCCATAGACTTGTATATGTTCAGGTTCCTCAGGTGATCTTGAACCTGATCTTCTCTTACAGTGGGAGGGACTTTGCTCCTCGAGTCCTTGTCTTGTAGTCCATCCACTCAAGAGGTGTGGGAAGAGACACTGCCAGTGAAGACTGAGGCAAAGAAGTCGTTGAGTCCCTCAGCCCTCTCCTCATCTGTTGTTGCCAGTTTGCCAATCTTACTCATCAAGGGGGGTACGCTTTCTTTGACCTTCCTTTTCTGGCTGACATACCTGTAGAAGCCCTACTTACTATTATTCTTTGCATCCCTTTGTCAGTTCAGCTCCAGCTGTGCCTTGGCCTTCCTGACACCAGGGCAGCATCCCTGTACTCTTCCCAGGATACCTGTCCCTACTTCCACTGCCTATGCATTTCCTTCTTGCCCTTTAGGTTGCCCAGCAGGTCTTGACTCATCCATGCTGGCCTGTTGCCTTCCTTACCTGATTTCTTCCATCTGGGGATTGAGAGCTCTTGCGCTCTATGGAAAACATCCTTAAAGATCTGCCAGCTCTGTTGTGCTCCCTTGTCCCTGAGGGAAGTTTCTCAGGGGGTCCTATTGACTAACTCCCTTGAAGAGCTGGAAGTTTGCTTTCCTAAAATTCAACCTTTCTGGCCAACCTTTTCCGATGACTTGGTTTTTGCACCTTAAACTATTTGCTTCAAATAATTAAAATAAAATCCTAATTCTATGCTTGTTTGTGGAATTCCAGTTACTAGAAAGGCATACAATTATGTGAAGGGCTCAGCAGAAGTGCAGTAACAGTTAAATCAACTGTGTTAAATCAGTCGTTAAACAAGCCAGAAGCAGGTCAGTTTTGTCCTGCACCTCTGTACTGCTCAGTTCAATGAGAGTCACTGGGATACAGTAGGTAATAGCTCATATTAAGTGAGTGATCTGAAAAGTTTTCATAAAAATCACTGCAGCTTTAAAAAGGTTTTAGATTGTTTTCATTACTGTCTATGGAGGGACTGTCCTTTGTTACTGTAGCAAATATGCTGAGTAGTTTCTCTAGCCAGTGTTCTTATATTTATTCGTCATTGATGTAGATCATGACAGAGTATCATGGAATGCTTTTACGCAATAGTGCATTGCTTCTTGTCACTGTCTGCCCTTAGCACAATAAGCTACTGCACTGTTTGAAATGCTGGAGTGATACTTTAAAATAATAGCACACACTCTGAATTGTCAATTATTTATGTATTGTGTGGAGTATTAGAGTTTGTAAGCTACAAAAATTCAGTTCAAATATATCAGTTAGTCTTGGAGAAAGATATCTAACATGAAGAAAAAATGCTTCTTCCTGCTCAGTGGGGCTTTTCCAATAGTAGCTGTGGAGCCATTCCTGAGGCTCAGCAGATTCCTCATGAGAGTGGGGTGTTTGGACACTTAACATCCAGTGTGGTTGGAATTGTGTGTGGATACAAGTGTGTGCGTCCTTGCTCTCCTTGTTCTGCAGCTACATCACTTTAAACAAAGTCAAAGATAGGTGGGGTGAGCCTTGTGTGAAAGGAACCACAGGGAGCTGGGAGAAGGTGGAAAGCACTGTTTCTTCGTCCTGGTTCCCTCCTCTGCCCTCACTACCTTCCAGAGGAGGGTACATCTTTTTTCCTTGTTTTGCAGGACCAGTGACATGCAATCTCAGGTGCTGCATTTATTCTTGTTCATTCTCACATGCAGTGGGATGGGGAGTTGCCCAAGGTGCCAAGTATTAACCATGTACATGTGCAACTGGAGCAAACAGTGTGAAAGAGACCATTCAGCTCTTCATGAGATGAGCAAGATTGCCTGATGTCTCAGCTTTTTTACTCTGCACGTCATACAGAGGAGGAGGAGGGGAGAGGAACTAAGTAGTTGTGGCGGGGAAAAGAACTGTTGCTGTAGGCAGGGTCTAGGGGAAAAGAAAGCAGGTTGTCTCCCTACCTGTCCCTGTCAAAATTCTGCTTGTTGAGGAGCGACACCCTGCCCTGTTCTCAATGTGCTGCACCTCACCTTTCTGCTCTTGCCACGTCCTCAGTCTATACCCCTTAAATCTGAGGAGGAGCCTTGTTGTACAGCTTCCTCTTCCAGTCTCATCTTACAGGTTCTAGGGCACAGATACGCTTTTTTTTTAGCTGCTCATCATTAGTTATTCTTTGCTCTGCTCCTGTCATTGCTGAACATTATGCTAAATGCATAACAATAATTTATTACAGAGGTGCAGTGTAACAATAATTTACTACAGTGGTGCATGGTGAAGGTCAAAATGAGGAAGACTGACAGTCATAAATCAAGATTTTTCTGCTGTATGATGTCTTGGTAAAATCCATACCTTACTGCCCTCTTACAGCTTCAGCTTCCCCTTGCATTCTGGGGATATCCTCGTGTCACAAGGACAGTGACTACTGATAATGAGCTCTGAATGGTTCTGTCAACATGGATTGCTTTTTTCTCCTTAGATTTTAGAGCTGTTTCAGGGTTTTTGCTGTCCCTGGTGCCTAGTCACTTATGTGCCTGAAAAAGCTAGCTGTTTTTCATTGCTTCCCTGTGTGCTCTCGATTTTGTGGGTGATCCAAACGTGTATACAATGATAGCACTTCCTTGCTGGGGTAGCTTGTAGTTCAACAAGACTGCAGTCGCTAAGGTGAGGAGAGATCAGGTCTGAGGGAAAGGGGGAACCACCACTCCTCATACGCTCTGCTGGGAGTGGGTCTGAGGGTATTGGGGATGGCAGCCCTTACATTTGGGTTCTTCTGGGATTCTGTAGGGGGGAGAGGAGAGTTCGATGGCTGTTGGAATACCAGGGCTCTAGAAACTGATCAGCATTTCCAGGTATGGTAAGAATATCTGAAAGCTTTCACACTAGTCTGAGGAAACAAGCTAAGAAATATTCTGCCTTAACCACAGTGTGTGTGCTGCTTTAGGTATTTGAGTAAGGTTAAATACTTGGGCATTTTCAGTGGAAAATGCTTCCTTCAATTTTTTATTATCCCTTCTTATTTAGTGGTCTTAGGTAAAACATACAAGTCTTGGACAGCTCTTGATACTTTCATTGTTGTATGTTCCTTGTGTTTTTCTCTTTCTAGGTTTTAAATGCCTTTTATTGATGATTCAGGCTACCTAGGCTGACTTTTCGTCTATTTCAATGCAATCTGTTGTAGTATAGAGACTGGGGAAGCAGAAATCTCTCTTGATTTGCCTATCTTAATCTGGTTACATGCAGCAACTTATATCATGGGGCAGGCAGGTGGGCGGTGTAGTGTTCCACTACAGCTCTAAATTAGAGCCCTGGCAAGAAATACTTATTTTCTGATGTAATTTTAGGCAACAGGCCTAAAATCTTGGGTTTGAACCATGTGTGATGGAAAATGCATTTTTTTCATTACTGTGACTGAAATCAGCAAGTGTAGTTCCTTGCTTTAAACTTTTTTTCATGTAATTTATTAAACAACAGGCATGTTAATTTGCAGACAAGGTAAGCAAATGATCATGCTGCTTTATGCTTTCATTAGTCTGTAAATCCTAAATAGAAGCTCTTGTTTGGTAAGCTGCTTTATTGAAATTCCAATATAAAGAATATGGCTGTACTGTAAAGTGGCTTAAAGAGTAAGTCCTTAACTGATGCAATATTATTCTAATGTATTCTAAATGTTTCTTTGTATGTGTTTGAATCTTTACTTTTTTATTCCTATTTTCAGGGAAATTCAAATGGCATTGCTACTGTGGATATTTCAGCAGGTTTTGTGGGACTAGAAAGCTATGTGGAGATACCAGCTATCTTCCTTACAGCATTTGCAACATATGCGGGACCTTTGCTTTGGGCCATTCATCTGCTGTGCTACCTGAGTTCTGAAGTTAGCAGGTAATCATGTTTTGAACTAAAAGTAATACTCCTCTACGTACTGCAGATATAAATACCATCCATATAGTGTATACGTTTTCAAACAAATAGTTTTGTTCACATCATTTTTTTCTTGGAAGCTAGTTTTCTATTAAGAAAATGCATGTTCTTTTTTTGGTATGAGTTTGTATCACCACATTCTTCCAGTTTCATTTTCTCTGCAGAAGTTTTGCACTGGGAATATATGTGTATGTTTTACTAATTTTGTTTTGTAATGCGTTCTCAGTTTGCTGTGCTAAATTAATTAAAATCTTACTACATTTTGTTATAACAGCATGTGCTGCCTAAAAACATTCTTCTTGGAACCTATTAAGTAGGTGATCTGAGAAGGACTTTTAAAAGTGATAGAATAGAATTCAGACTTAACTAACATGCTGTTCTTTGAATGTCTGTCCTTGTTTGGCATAGTGACATATGACATTTTATAAGAAAGACACATTTATTTTATTGTATGTTACTGGTTATTGCAGTCATATGTAGCTGAAATATTTGTACTTCTGGGTATCTTCTATAGCGGATTGGTTAACATAAAATGAATTAGTGCATTTGGAATTTTAAGAAGACATAGTTGGAAAATGCTTATGTAACTTACAGTGTGCATATAAAATCCAATTGGACTCTCTAATATTGTGTTTAACTCATCGTCCAGGGCATTCAAACTGAGAGATACAGTATGTTAAAATAGACGAGTTATACATTCTGTATTGTATAATACCAATGCACAAATGCAAAAACTTGATAAATTTTCACAGAAATAATATTTGACAGTGACTAAATTCTTACTATCCCAGAGTCTTTTCTCTGATATCTCTGGAATGTACTTTGTTTTTTTTTTTAAATGGGGAATAAAATATTGCAGCAGGCTCGGCAGGCAGGATTTTAGACCGTATTTACTTTATCACAACTCTTTGCCTTATGCATTGTCATCCTCTGTAAACCTCTGACTTCCCTTTATCTACAGTGTCATCTGGTCTCATCCTGTTGGTGCTTTTTGTTTTCTGGCTTCTCTCTTTCCTTGTGCTTGTTTGTTTTGGGCTATGCCTACACTGTGAGCTTGTGTTGGCACATGTGTGCTCATCAAAGGTGTAAAGAGGTAGGATCCCAGGTGACCAAGCTGTGTGGACTAGTAGAGGTTTTTGAACCAGGAAGGACCTGTTCTAACAGGCTAAATTGCTGCACAGTCACCAAGTCCATTGCTCCATGTTAACAGGCACCTTTAACGGGTAGAGTTATTATTCACCTTAGTTGCTGATTTCCCTGTCCGCTATATTGCTCTCTAAAGATATCTAGCTCACTCTATTGCAGTGGAATTATGCATCCCAGTGCTGGGCCATTGTACTGCTTTAGTAATGCACTCCTTAGTGTAGATTGAGACTCATTGTAGAACATTACCTCATAGTCTGAGGCCAGCTAACTTGAAGTCATCTTTGGTCTTATATAGATTGATGATAAGCACTGGTCTTTATGTATAATGCCTCTGAAAATCACCCTTTTCTCTGTTCATTCTGATTTTTTTTGCATCAGGAGGAGTAGCTGTGGAATACACTAATTATTGATGTCTGGATTTGTATAAACACAGAAATCCCTTTCTTGAATTTTCCTTACTACCTGGTGTCTTGATGCCAAACTCCATTTTAACTCTTTGTTTCTAATGCTCCTCACTTTAATTACTGCTTTGCTCCATCAGTACATCTTCTCAGTATCCAAGCTCTTCAAGTTTTCTCCATTCGTTCAACTTTCTTTCAAAAAAGAGTTATCATGTACATATAAAAAGCCCTGCCTCTTACCTTCTAGTAAATATGTGACTCATGACCCTGGATATTACTTATATTCTGTTAATCTACTGTTTTTCTCAATTCCTTTATACCTCTGCCATGTTTTTTTGAAGTAGTGCTAGATAGTTTCACTGGTGACATCCATGTTTCTGTGTTGGTTTTTTTAGCAGTCCCACTTTCCATTCTTCATTATTACACTGTAGGTACTTCAGAACTGGAGCTTTTTGCTTGTGCTTGGAGGACTCCAAGCACAGTGGAGTGAACTGCCTCAGTGCCATTGTTTGAGGAGAGAAAAAAGAGCTCCCGTCATGTTTTTAAAGAGATGAAGTTTTAATGTTGTTTAAACCCTAGGCTGCAGACTGTGATGAACACTAACATACAATGAAGAGAAAATGGTACCATATGGCATGTTTTTTGAAAGCTCCTCTAACAAAATAATAAAAAACTTTCTGTAACAAAATCTTTGAGGTTCTGTACTTGTTTAGTATTGTTTCAAATAATGTGCCTCTGTAGTAGTGTTGGTTGTTGTTCTGATGTTTTCTTGGTTGAATTTTTGCAGATTAAAAGCTCAGCTAGTAGTGTTGCCAGGTACAGTGCTGGTTTAAACTGCTCTCAAGTGGGTAGCTGTGACCTGTAATACCCACATCACTTATGTAAGTAGATTCCATCAAGCAGCTTGTGTCTGTAGCCATTTTAAGGTTCTTTTGGGTCAGCTGGTAAGATTGTTTCCTCTATGAAATAGTGTGTAACTCTGGACTGGAACCTCTGTAGCTGCTGGGACTTGTTTATATTGGTATGTTATGGTGCTTGGAACTTGGTCTGTACGCTTTTTATTTTACTCGTGTTTCGCTGGCCAAATGGTTGTCTCATTACTTTGTCGTTATTCCTTGGAGCCAAAGCTGAAACTGCAGAAGGCAGAGGTTCAGCTGCTTCATGTGTTTTCTTGAATGTATGAGCTTTTTAAAAAACTGCTGGATGCTTTAGAAGACTTCTTACTAACTGTTTTATAACTAATATGCCTTGGACAGTGAAATTCAAACCCTTTCCTTCTTTTATGTAGTCCTGAGTGCAAGATGAAGATCCTTCCAGATAGGAAGGTCTAAAAGAATCTAGCTGTCCTGTTTTTTTGGAGTATGCTGAGTGGGTCCTGTTAAATTCCCACAGGATGTTGTCAGCATTCCTGACCCATCCTGGTTCAGTCTTAGCTGATGGATCTGTCCAGAACTGCTCAGCAGTGACATTCTTAGCAAAGTCCCTAGCACCCTGCAGCCTGTTTAAGAGGTGTTGCCTCTGAGGAAGTTGACCTGGCCAGGAAAGCCTGACTTCAGTGCTAACTATCATTGTTTATTCCAGGCACTTAGCAAAGGCCATGTAATTTATAGCTGCATCAGTTGGGTTGGCTTACCAGAGCTTCTTGGTGGAATTCTTAGAAGCTGAGCTCCGCTGGGGCATCACTTCCTAGGGGCAAGTACACATGCATACCCTTCCCTCTCTCTGCACTTTGCATTTATGAAATCATAGAATACTTGAGTCAGGATTCCAACCTTCCTGTCCAAAGGAGGGTCAACCAGAGCAGATTCCTCAGGGCCATGTCTAGGTGGTTTTTGAGTAAGAATGGATGCTCCAGGATCTCCTTGGACAACCTATTCCAGTGTATGACAACCCTTGCAGGAAAACAATTGCTCTCTGATGTTTAAGGGGAATTTGTTATATGTCAGTTTTTTTCCATTGCCTTTCATCTTTTCCTGGGCACCACTGAGAATAGTCTGATTACATTTTCCTCACTTCTGTCAGTCAGATATTTATGAACATTGGTGAGATCCCTGCTGAGCTTTCTCTACTGAAGGCTAAACAATCCCAGCTTTCTCAGCCTCTCATTTTATGTTAAGTTCACCAATCCCTTCACCACGTTTGTGACCTTTCAGTGGACTCGTTCCAGTACACCCATGTCTGTCTTGTACTGGGGAGCTGTTGTGGTTTAGCCCCAGCTGGCAACTAAACACCACGCAGCCGCTCGCTCACTCCCCCTCCCACAGTGGGACGGGGGAGAGAATTGGGAAAAAAAACTCGTGGGTTGAGATAAACACGGTTTAATAGGACAGAAAGAAAGAAGGGAACAACAATGATAATACCAACAAAGGAATGTACAAGAACAAGTGATGCCCAATACAGCAATTGCTCACCACCCCGTGATCGACAGCCCGTCCCTGAGCAGCGATTTCCGCCCCTCGGCCAACTCCAGTTTATGTACTGGGCATGACGTCGTATGGTAGGGAATATCTCTTTGGCCAGTCTGGGTCAGCTGTCCCGGCTGTGTCCCCTCCCAGCTCCCCGTGCACCCCCAGCCTGCTCGCTGGCAGGCCAGCACAAGAAGCTGGACTGTCCTTGACTGCTCAGCAACAACCCAAAACATCAGCACATTATCAACAGTTTCTCATCCCAAATCCAAAACACAGTCTCGCACTAGCTTCTGTGAAGAAAACCAGCTCTATCCTGGCTGAAACCAGGACAGGAGCCCAGGGTTGGATGCAGAACCCCAGATGTGATCTCAGCACTAGTCAGCAGAAAGGAAAGATCGACTTCCTCAGCCTGCTGGCTCTACTTTTCCCATTACAGCCCCGGGTGGCTCAAGGGAACATTGCTTGCTCAACTTGTTGTCCACCAGGAACAACCTATGTACTTCTTTGCCAAGCTGTTTTCCAGATGGTCATCCCCAAGCTTGTCCTGGTACATGAGTTTATTCTTCCCCAGGTGCAGGATGTGGCATCTCCCTTTGTTAAACTTCTTGAGTTTCTTGTCAGCCTATTTCTCTAAGCCTGTTGAGGTGTCTCTGAGTGGCAGCAGACCCATCTACTGTATTGACCATTCCTCCCCGTTCTGTATTGTGTGCAGACTTGCCGAGAGGCCACTCTGCCCTGTTGTCCAGGTCATTAATGAAAATGTTAAACACTATTGGCCCTAGTGTCAAGCCCTGGGATTGATCGCTAGTTGCTGGCCTTCAGGTGGACTTTTTAGTGCTGATCGCAACCCCGTGAGCCCGGCATTTGAGCAAATTTCAGGCCACCTCACTGTCCAGTTTCCTAGCCTGGACTGCATCAGTTCACCTGTGAGGATGTTATGGGAGATGGTGATAAAAGCCTTCTTGTGAGGTGAAAGTGCGTTAGATACATGCAGCCCATGTATCTT